CTATTCGCTGTAGGATTTATAGTTTTTAAAATATGACCGTTTGAAGATGGCAACCACCAAAATACTCTGACCTGTCAAGGCTGCAGCAGCAAGTGATGCCATAGACAGGGCCTTTTGAACACCTGCTAATGTTTTTATAAATGTATGGTTTAATGTAACTGTGCAACAACGTTGCAATTGAATGTGCTATGTAAATGATAACAGTTACTCCGCCCACTCCAGTTGTAGACTACAGGTGGAGGCAAGAACGCTTCACACAATTTCCCCAGAAATTGTAGCTTTTCTAGTTATTATTATTCTTATTATAGCAAAATTTGCCACCCTAACTCCTCCCACAGTTTTTACACTACATAGACCAAAATTTACCAAAACGTGCAGATTGTTCCCGATCGGATTGCTATTACTTTGTGGAGCGTTTCGCCGAATGGTTCACGGAATATCGTCGTTCTTGTGGCAAAATTTGTCCCATAGGAATGAATGGCAAAGCTAGAGTGGGAGCTGGCAAAAGCTGAAAAATCAGGACATGATTTCTAAACTGCCACCACTCCCTTATTTTCAGGCCCACCTACACAAATCTTATATCAAAACGTTCAGCTATCCCTGCTGCCACTAAACATGTCAGCGGCTAAGCCATAGTCCTGATAGTTTTCACAATATAATCATTTGTTTGCAACTAACGCCGTCCATTGACTTTCATTGAAACTTCACTCTGCAAAGCTCAAATTTGAATTGCACTTTCTAAACTGCGACTGTGACTTCAGTTTTAATACTTCAGAGACATACTATGCATCAAAATGTAGGTCTGGGTCTTGTGATTCTCACAATATAAAGGTCTTCGCTGTAGGATTTATAGTTTTTAAAATATGACCGTTTGAAGATGGCAACCACCAAAATACTCTGACCTGTGTCAAGCTGCAGCAGCAAGTGATGTCATAGACAGAGCCTTTTGAACACCTGCTAATGTTTTTATAAATGTATGGTTTAATGTAACTGTGCAACAACGATGCAATTAAATGTGCTATGTAAATGATAACAGTTACGTCGCCCACTCCAGTTGTAGACTACAGGTGGAGGCAAGAACACTTCACACAATTTCCCCAGAAATTGTAACTTTTCTAGTTATTATTATTATTATAGCAAAATTTGCCACCCTAACTCCTCCCACAGTTTTTACACTACATAGACCAAAATTTACCAAAGCGTGCAGATTGTTCCCGATCGGATTGCTATTACTTTGTGGAACGTTTCGCCGAATGGTTCACGGAATATCGTCGTTCTTGTGGCGAAATTTGTCCCATAGGAATGAATGGCAAAGCTAGAGTGGGAGCTGGCAAAAGCTGAAAAATCAGGACATGATTTCTAAACTGCCACCACTCCCTTATTTTCAGGCCCACCTACACAAATCTTATATCAAAACGTTCAGCTATCCCTGCTGCCACTAAACATGTCAACGGCTAAGCCATAGTCCTGATAGTTTTCACAATATAATCATTTGTTTGCAACTAACGCCGTCCATTGACATTCATTGAAACTTCACTCTGCAAAGCTCAAATTTGAAGTGCAATTTCTAAACTGGACTGTGCCTTCATTTTTAATACTTCAGAGACATACTATGCATCAAAATGTAGGTCTGGGTCTTGTGATTCTCACAATATAAAGCTCTTCACTGTAGGATGTATAGTTTTTAAAATACGACCGTTAGAAGATGGCAATCGCCAAAATACTCTGACCTGTGTCAAGCTGCAGCAGCAAGTGATGTCATAGACAGGGCCTTTTGAACACCTGCTAATGTTTTTATAAATGTATGGTTTAATGTAACTGTGCAACAACGTTGCAATTAAATGTGCTATGTAAATGATAACAGTTACTCCGCCCACTCCAGTTGTAGACTACAGGTGGAAGCAAGAACACTTCACACAATTTCCCCAGAAATTGTAACTTTTCTAGTTATTATTCTTATTATTATAGCAAAATTTGCCACCCTAACTCCTCCCACAGTTTTTACACTACATAGACCAAAATTTACCAAAACGTGCAGATTGTTCCCGATCGGATTGCTATTACTTTGTGGAACGTTTCGCCGAATGGTTCACGGAATATCGTCGTTCTTGTAGCGAAATTTGTCCCATAGGAATGAATGGCAAAGCTAGAGTGGGAGCTGGCAAAAGCTGAAAAATCAGGACATGATTTCTAAACTGCCACCACTCCCTTATTTTCAGGCCACCTACACAAATCTTATATCAAAACGTTCAGCTATCCCTGCTGCCACTAAACATGTCAACGGCTAAGCCATAGTCCTGATAGTTTTCACAATATAATCATTTGTTTGCAACTAACGCCGTCCATTGACTTTCATTGAAACTTCACTCTGCAAAGCTCAAATTTGAAGGGCAATTTCTAGACTGCGACTGTGCCTTCAATTTTAATACTTCAGAGACATACCATGCATCAAAATGTCTGATGTCTGGGTCTTGTGATTCTCACAATATAAAGCTCTTCACTGTAGGATTTATAGTTTTTAAGATACGACCGTTTGAAGATGGCAACCGCCAAAATACTCTGACCTGTGTCAAGCTGCAGCAGCAAGTGATGTCATAGACAGGGCCTTTTGAACACCTGCTAATGTTTTTATAAATGTATGGTTTAATGTAACTGTGCAACAACGTTGCAATTAAATGTGCTATGTAAATGATAACAGTTACTCCGCCCACTCCAGTTGTAGACTACTGGTGGAGGCAAGAACACTTCACACAATTTCCCCAGAAATTGTAGCTTTTCTAGTTTTACTTACAGTGACGTGGGTGCACCGGAAGTGACCTAGGTATAGAAATCTGATCGATACAGATTTCTGATAGAGCACAGGGAGTCCCTCTACTGCAGTGGTTCCCAACCCAGTCCTCAAGTTCCCCCTAACAGTACAGGATTTAAGGATCACTCAATTGTGTCTAAGGTGTTTTGGGGGAAAAAAACAAAAAACACTTTAGACACAACAGGGTAATCCCTAAATCCGGGACTGGTAGGGGGTACTTGAGGACTGGGTTTGGAACCCCTGCTCTAGTGCCTGTCTGGTAGAGGAGGAGTTAAAGGAGCACTATAGTGCCAGCAAAACAATAGGGCGGACCTACTGACCACTATAGGGTCAGTAGGTCCGCCCACCCTCAGAGTCCTCGTCCCGCTGGGATGAATGGGTTAGAATCCCTTCAGCCACTTACCTTTCTCCAGCGCCGGACTCCCTCTGTGCTGGGGAACTCTCCAACCCCTGCCGATGTCAGAGACGAATGTGCATGTGCACATTTAATTTGATTCATAAGAAAGAAAGTGAAAAAGACGGAAAAAGTGAGATAGTAAATAAAATGTAACCACAAATGGTAAAGAGAAGTGAGTGGGCAATTGGCGACCCACTCACCTGTTTCATCCCCAGGGCAGAGCATCCAAACTCCTTCGGTCCTTGGCGTGGGGAGCGGACCTCCAGAGCTCAAACACAATGCCCTAGCATTAACTGACTGTGCTGGCGGGGGTAGCAGGCGTTGCCACACCGCTGTCAGACACAACCAGAGGGGAGAAACCAGTACTACTTTAAGGGAGATTTTAAGGTATTGGGGAGGGGAGAGAGAATGAAAGAATAAGGAGGAATGCGAAATAAAAGAAATATTTTGTCGCCACCAACTTTATATAATTAGAAAGAATGTTGAGAATACCTAAGCTCAATTACAGTAAAAGTGAAGAGCAGCGTACCCCAATTTAGGCAGATTAAATTTAAGAAAGGCAATCTGCTCCATGAGACGAGGTGACATTTGTGAGAGCTGTGGATTCAGTATATTACCGGTTACCGAAAACACACGCTCACTTGGGATAGTGGTTGGCGGACATGATAGCAGCGCAACCAATGAGAGTGCAGGCCACACACTCTTCTTCTCATCCCAATAGCTAAGAGGGTCCACATTATGGGGCAAAGGAGGTTCAGAGAGGTACGCTCTGACCATTTCTGAAGCAGTACTCTCCTGTCTGCTGCTAGCACTCTCAGTGGGTCCAACTATATCCTCAAGCAACTCTTCCCAAAATGCAGCTGCTCAACTCAGTTGTGTGGTGGTGGTAGTGCCACTGCTTCTGCTAGAAGTAGCCGACATCTCAGCCTCCTGCTGAACTACTCACTCAGACAGCATTCCCCTCTTTTGCTGCCGGTCAACACCCTCTAGATCAGTTTCTCCCTCCAATTTGTTGTTATTGGATCTGAGTGCAAGCTTTCACTTAATCCTTGGATTACACAGGCAAGCTAGCATCGGTTCAGGAGAATTATCCATTCGCTCACGTAGGCGAACTTTAAGCTGATCCTTCAGCCTCCTGACCAGAGTTACTACATCAGGATGTAAAGGATCACCTTGAACAACCTCTTGGTGTTCAAGGAAGACACCCATCTTGCTCCCTATATGGGTGAAAACAGGGATTACCTGTCCCAGATTGGCAGTGTTCAAGCTTAAATTTTCAGTGACATCCCTGAATGGTTTCTGCTAGACACTGCTGCTGAAGTTGCAGCAGCAGCTTCCTGAGACACACCAGGCTCCCACCAGTGTGCTGTCAGGGAACAAAAGGCATGCTGGCCACTTGGTGCACTCCACAAATCTGTGGTAAAATGCACAGACTGACCAGCCTTCGAAAGCTCCCTTTTCACTACTCCAACACAGGACCGGTAAAGTGAAGGGATTATACTCCTGCTGAAAGTGGAGCTTGAGGGAAGATGCTATTGTGGAGCCACAGCCTCCATCAACTGTTTGAAAGGCTCCCCTTCTATCATATAAAAGGAAGCACCCCCAACAGCAATTAACTGGCTAATAAGTCGCGTAATTTTATTGGCCTGCTGTTTAGACATGGAGTGGAATCCCCCAAATTGTTCCAGTGTGGGCTGGACGTTTTGTGATGCTCCAACCAGCCTTGGTAGTTGGCTGGCAGCACCAGTAGCTCTTAGCTCTGCAACACCTCCCCTGTCACTTCTAGCTGCCATGGTACTGGACACTGTATGCTGGTTGCCCTAGTACTTTCTGCCTCTTCCCTCAATAACACAGCCTTGTGATGGCTGCAAAGGTGATGGTTCATCCCTGCACTGGTGAGATGACCCAACACTCTCCCCCTGCTAACTTCCTTCCCACAAAGTTTGCACTTTGCAAAGCGACCATCTCCAACACTTTCAAAGTGATCCCAAACTTTGCTGCGGCGCAATACATTGGCACTTGCCCTACAGGATTCTGCTGCTAATGGTGCAGGTTGATGAGCAGCAGCAGAGTGCGACTACTGGTAGCTGGCACAGTTGCCTCGGCACTGGTACTGTGGCTAGTAGTACCTGGTGGTGGTGATTGTTGGCACAGTTACACTGGTGGTGGTAACTATGCCACTGCGAGAAGGAACAGTGGATCTGGAAATAGTAGTGGTAATAATTGATTGTGGTGGTGGTGGTGGTCTGCTAATGGTTGAAGTAGCACTAGCAGGTGCTACTATTGGAGGAAGGGGAAAAATGTGCACTTGTAGCAAGAGAAAAGGTTGGACTGCTCCCTGAAGAATTCTGACTTTCCTCTACTATCTCCTCCTCACTCTCAGGCTCATTGTCAAGCTCTTCATCAGCCAGACTAAATGCAATCCCTGCAAGGCTGGGGGTAAGACTGATATCACCTCCCGGAATAATAGGACTAGGAGCACGGGGTAGCATTGGAAATGCAACAACTCCTGTGCTGATGTGCCGCTGTCAGTGGTAGAAGCAGGCGCTGCACTGGTGGTGGTGGAAGTGGTGGTCTTGGGAGGGGGATTAGGAAACAGCTTCCGTGTACAAGAAGGAAGCTTCTTAGCAGCACGACTCACAGGCCTGCTTGTGGTAGAGGAAGATGCTGGGGGCAAAACACACTTCCTCTTACTTATTGGGCTACTCCTACTACTAGTTGTGTTTTTAGTAGTAGTACTAGCCATAGTGCTCACCCTAAAAAGCCCTGCTGGTTTCCCTTTGCCATAGAAAAGACTTGCAATTCTGGGCCTTGCTGCACTGCTGCCTGCTATTGGTGACTTTCCTTGACCAGGATCTTGCACCAACGGGCCTGAAATGCGAGACAAAGACTTTGGCCTCCTAGGTGGTGAGTCTGACATAGCGGCACTCCTTGACCGCTTAGGCTGACGCATAGGCTGTGTACTCAAACTACCACTACTTGTGGTGGTGGTGGTTTTGGTGGCTGACTGACCCTCCCTCACTTTACTAGTGGATGAACGTTAAGGAGGATCCATTTAGAATTTTAAAATAGTAAGAAAAGAAAAGAAGTTGAAGAAAAGAAAGAGATAATGTAGTGTTTTGAAACTAACGTTTATATTTTTATTAAAAAGGATTATTTGAAGTTTGGAGCTATGCTGATATATAGATCAACACAGTTAAAAAAAAATAAATAAAAAAATTAGAGACTAGTACTGAGGCAGATTTCTTCACTCTAGTGCTTTCTGAGGAACTATGCAAAACTGCACTGTCTGGCGTGAGCAGTCTGCCAACAAGTGCTCCCTGCTCGACTACTGCAGTGCAAGCAGAGTATGAAAAAATTTACTAATATTAGAAAAATAAAATAATAAAAGATTTACTACAGCTACCTTGAAGCTTAGGTTAGGACAGTCACACAGACAATCTATCAGGAACTAAAATAAACCAAATAAAAACAGCAACCAGTTAGCTTCCCTGATTAAACAAACACACTAACTGAACTAATAAAAATCAGTTAATGAAAAAAGGAATTTCTTCACAACAGCAGTCAGAACAGTTAACTTCACTGCTGATGCTGATATGAGCACAAACAAAATTACACTAAAAGTGTGAAAAATGTAAAACAAAAAATAAACTGTTTGACTAATGTGTTCTGTTCTAACAAAGCACAAAGAAACTGTACTACAATAAATATATATATTTTAAACTGAAGATAATTCTAGCAACTTAATAAAATGTTCTAATTAAAACTGAAGATAATTCTATTAACTGAATAAAAAAAAATATTACTTCACTATTACACTGACTGCCTGCAAACCCAGCAAACACACTTAGCTGAGACTGACAGAAGATTAACTTTCTCTATCAGCACTCAGAGACTGAAACAGCACTGCAGCAACAGCAGCACCTCTGTAAAATCAATTTAACAAAAATCAACTAATCAACTTTGCTGCTAAAAAGCGCTTATATCCAGCTCTAGGGTAAAGTGCGTACAACGGTATAATCCCCGCTTATGGGATATATGGTGGGTACCTCTCCGTCAGTGGTGTCCGGTAAAAATAAATAAAAATTATGTGTAAAAAATAAAGTCTTTTTGATGAAACGCGTTATGGAAATTTTATATTGTGTATTTTTGTATTAAAAGTATATTTGGTCATTTGGTTGTGCCAATTATCTTTTTTACACATAATTTTTATTTATTTTTACCCTTGCTTTTTATTATCTTATTTTTTTATCCACTCTGGTTTTATTAATATTTGGAAACTTCCTGCATCCCAAGAAATCCTAGGTGGGGATTAATCCACTTATGCTGATACCACAGAGCAGTCCGTCTGCTCTTTACTTGTAAGTACGTTTTTATTTAATTTATACCAATATTACTATACAGTGAGCACTATTGGCTGTTTCTTCTTTCCTGAGAACCGGCCACCACTGACGGAGAGGTACCCACCATATATCCCATAAGCGGGGATTATACCGCTGTACGCGCTTTACCCTAGAGCTGGATATAAGCTCTTGTAAATGTGAGTCCTCTACCATTGTTTTTTTATTACGTCCACAATTGAGCTATACATATTGCACTATTGGTTGTCCCTCTCTTTTATCTTCTATATAAGCGGAACCACTATATCTGAAGATCATACCACAGTACCAGCCTCCTATAAATACTATTCATAAGGATATACAAATTGGACATTTTTATTACTTGGACTTTATTTTCTCTTAATATTTTATGTGGTGCAGCCTTTTTTATTTTGCTACTTTTATTTATCTTGTTTTAAAGGGTGTTTGAGGGATTCCCTTTTAAAGGTTGCTGCCTACAAGTTGACCAGCGCTGTCTCATCCATTTACTATTTCTATTATCCACTAAGCTAAAGTACTTGACTGATTCTACCTTTACTCTAAATCTAATAAATTTAAGCTAATTCATTTTGATTAAATAAAAAAGCATATAAAAAAAAAAAAGTAATACCTGGTTGTTGCAGGCAGTAAGCAAGCAGGGAAGGCAGGCACTGGCAGTGCCAGCCAGGCACCGTGTGGCACACTGACTCAGTCAGCAGCACAGCAGTGCACAGCTCTCAAAAAGCACTAAAATTAAAAAAAATAATAATTCTCAGGAATAGTCTCTCAAATTCAACAAGTGAGAACTGGCAGGCACACAAAGACTCACAGAAAATCTCTAAGACAAGTAATGAGGCTAGCACAGCACAGAAGCACAGTGTGTCACCAACAAAACTCAGTCAAATAAAGGGGGAGAAAGTTCCACTGCCTGCTTTTATACTGTTGTTTTTAGTTATTTTTTAAATCCACGATAAAGCACTCACCATTGGATAAGCCCCTACAGCATCATGTCAAAGGAGTGAGCTGATTAGATAAATGAAAATCAGCTCACTCCCATACCCCACCTCTTTGATTCATACAAGGCATCCGAATGAACTAATACATGAATTGAGGCAAATCAGTTCATTAGTTCATTCGTTTTTCTACCATCCCCATGTAAAGCAATGCAATGCTTTGAAAAACACGAATGATTTGTGCGTTCGGTTCACGAACGCTACTCGTTCGGTAGTTTGCATTGCAATACATTACACTACTGACTGCCTGTAATTCAAAAAGCCGAACTAGTGATACGAATGAACTAAAGGCACATTCATTAGTATGCATTCGTTAGTTTGGCTCAATCCCATCAGATTTGAAGGGAGTGAACAGAACTAACGAATGAAAGAATGATATATTCATTGCTGTTTATTCATTCGGTTAGTAGTTCAGCTTTTTGAATTACACAGAGTGCTAAGTTTAATTCACACAGAGTGTAATTCAAAATGCCGAATGAACGAACAAACAAAAGATTTTCGGTAAACGGCCATTCGTTTGTTTGTTTGTTCTTTAGTTTGGATACCCATTCAGTATTCATAAGAATGGAAGAAAATGCATATTTTCGTACGAAAATCCATTCGTACGAATACGAATGCCCAAGTCTAGATTTCCATATCCAGTTTTTGGACAGTAATAGAGTTGGCTGCAGACAATCCAGTTGCGACAACTGCACCGACAGTGACACAAACAAATGCAAAAATTATAGCGGTAAGGAACTTTTTGGGTCGGTTGCTCATCGAAATAGTACTGGATAAAAAAGGTTTCCGAGATTGCTCCAAGATGTTTCGCACACGGTCCTGTGCTCTTTGGAGGTGTAACTCAAGAAGCTGCATCGATGAAATGTTGTATGCCTTCTCGATGGAAATCTTGGGGTCCAAGCTGACGTATACATGTTGGGTCAGGATCCTCTTCTCTGTCAAGATGAACCCTGGTGTCTCCTGAATCAGAACGCCAGAGGATGGTCTCATCTCTGCGATCGGATCGGTCCGAAGCTCCTGACACAGGAGCAGTACGATCCAGAAACATGCCACATCCTTCTTGGACATCTTTCGACAGTCACGGATCAGGAACTCGTCTCAAACTTATCTACTAATGATTCAAGGGTTGTAAGGCATACACACTTATAACAGTGTGACATCACATGGCCTAGGACAACACATTATTTATGATTCATCAACGTTTTGTATTTTGTCTAATTATATTTTTATAAATTCATCCCTCACTACGTTTATTACTGACTCCTCAGTAATTCGCCTATAGCAGCTAAACAAGCTAGTAACCTGCTTAGAAAATGTAGTTATTGGATGGCAAGGAAATGGTTAATGACATGAACATACATGAGATCATGGCACATCACAACATTTCACATCATACGATACCACGTGAATCAAGCATTCATCCAGGTTAGTCGTTCACTCTTCTGCATCAGAATCCACACCTATAATCCTTAATTGAGATTTAGGATGACAAGCACACAACTGGTTAATGTGAACCCACTTTTCAATATAATCACCATCCTTTGGAATTTTTATCTTATATGCTACTGGGGAAATTTTGTCAATTATGACATATGGCCCTTTCCAAGAAGGTAAAAATGTATTTTCCTTGACTTGATTTCACGCAAAG